TTTAGATTTTGGCAAAATACAAAACTACTTTTCCATGACCGTTTTCATTGACTTTTTCATGGCAGTTTTTCAGTCGTTTTTAGCCAATGGTAATTATGGATCATCCAACACAAATGCATCAATAAAGTATTGCAGATAACTCCTCAGTAATGAGAATACATAAATCCTCTGCTCAATAGGCTATGCAATCAGTTCACCCCTGGAAAAAAAAAAACAAACCACCAACTCCAAACACTTGAGATACTGCAATCTCTATAAAAATTCATTTAAATTGGAATTTGTTAATGTTGGATGAGATTGTCGACTGCAGTAAATCAACACAGCCTCCCTGAATCAATGGAATAACACTGAATTGCACCAGATGAGAGTCAGTCTGAAGCTTTTAGTAACTAAGGGTTCCTTTTGATTAGCTGTGTTGTTACTGTTACATCCATTATAAATTTACTTAAGTTTATTTGTATATGATATGTTCACTTAAAATGGCACAATATTACATCTCTTTTCCATCTGCAGACCATAAAATAACAAAGGTTTTACCGAAGTGGTTGGCATTATTTAGTTTCTCTTTCATGTTTGACTAGCAGTGGATAAGACAATCGTGGCTCTGCTAAGGGGATCAGGTGGTCTTCTGATGTCCCAGACAGGGGAACCAGTCAGCTGTGGGCTGGTTCCAGCACACATGCTAGATTTCATTCCCATGGAAACCCTAATGGAGGAGAAGCAGCAGATCTCCAGAGTCAGGACACTGACTTAGCTGTGGAGCTGAGAATGCTTGCAGGTTTTACAGTTTAAGCACAGCCTTTGTGCTGTTATCGGACCTTTCTCCCCCTCTGCCAGACAGAGCATTCAGGGTCACTGGTCTTTCTGTTGCATTGTTAATGTTCTCACTTTAGGGTGTATGTGGCAATTCTGCAGTAGACTACACGTTTTCTGCACTGCTCACCTTTCAGAGCTGGCAGTACAAAGACAAAGTTACAAAGGCCTTAAACACGTGCTAAACCCATGAATCAAGATATGGTTTGGGAAGTGCAAGAAAAAAAGTATCATTTGATTTCTTTAATTTCTCATGTCCTGTGAACAAACCTTAGGAAGAGACTGAATAGAAAAAAGATCCTGCAGTGTTGTCTCAGCTTTCTGCCTTAAGCATTTCCATTTACTGTGTTAATGAAGTGCACGTAACAAGAAGCTGTAGAGGTAAGTAAAATAGTGGGGAAGGTTTGATTTTAATACTTTTTACATGCAGTCTGCCTTCGGATCTAATATACATATCCCAAAATAGATCACAATATGTCCTAAAGCATACAAAATTAATAACATCCTGCTTTCTTTTATAACTCTCTATGTTGAGAGGGCTACAAAATTGCCTTGTGCATGTGTGCTTTCAATTAAAATTTCCAATTTCCAGGTCCATTGCTTTGTCTCCGCAAGTACAAAAGACAGCCAAAAGCAGGGAGAAATGACTCCATGGAGTTGGACCTCTCTACTCATTACGAGCTGGTTAGCAAGCACCTGCTATTCACCAGCTTGGAAAACCATTTGGAATTCAAGTAAGTCTCAGCAAGAACCTGAGAGAGCATCAGGAAGCTGGGCAGCTGGCCAGTTTTGTATGCCTCATCTCTCAAAGATTTTCTTGCTCTGATGCTCTCCCCCACCACCATACACCTCTGATTGATTGATTTATTCCTGCTTTTCTCTCTGTATTTGAAGCGGAAACATGTCACTGTTTTAAATGTCTCCTATCTGTTTTCTAGAATGGAGATTTTAATGCTTGTAGTGACAAAAGTTACTTAGTAATGTATGGCTTAGGAATAAAAGAATGTGTTAAGATAGAAAGCCAAGCCAAATTTTCATAAGAGTGAACTTGTAAGCGTTAGTGAAAAATATACTTGGGCCAAATTACATTGAAAGCCTGGCACATGCTGTTAAGGACTCTGAGCGTACCATTTCCAGTTTTCCTCAGGTATTCATTGTAGCAGCAATGTGAAATTACCTTTAATTGTGTGGCAATTTGAGAAGTGCTTTATGACGATGACGATCTCATCAGCATTTCTGACAGACAAATATTTTTGGCCCGTTTACAACTTCTGCTTTCTAATAATTATGCTCAACAGAAAGATCAGGTAAACCTGATGTAAAGTTTTATTTTTGGGAGGAGAGACGCTGTCTGGGTTCATAATGTGGGTGAAAACCACACCCCATACTGCTTTCTAAATAGTGTTGAGGCAAGGTGTGGACGAGGCATCCTGACATCCCTAGATATATAAAGCCAAAGCTCTGCAGGTTCAGCTGAACCAAGCTTAGATTATTCTTACAAGTGACATGCACAAAGTTTCAAACCCTGGGACCTGTTATCCCAAACCAAGTGATCTGATCTTCACTTAAAGGTGGGAAAGCCACTTTTCTGCAGTCAGTGTTTAGCTGTCACACCTCTAAGTTCGGTTCCCTCGTTGGCTACAAGCAGCGTGGCTTGGATATCCCCGGATTAGCAATGGTTTTGTATTTTTAACTCAACCCAAAACTTTACCTGCTATTGGGCTTTGTTGGCTTTGGGTCCTGAAGAATGGGAATCCATTCAGCTTTACCTAAAGGTTGCACCTCCCCGCCACTTTTGTGTAGCCTCTACCATTATAGCTTTCACCTTCTCCTACCACTGCAGAACTGGGAGTATGGTTCTGCTTTGGTGAAATACAGAAACCAAATTAAGTGAGACCAGTAATCACAACTATGTGGATATCCATTAAAAAAGAGGTCTAAAGAAAGCAATATACTGAAAATGTGTAAGAAGAAAAATGGATCTGATAGTCTGAATGTTATGTGTAGACTGAAAGAGTAGGGAAGTTTGACTTCATGATGTGTACTGATGTGGGAAATTAAATTGGTCAGGGTAGCTCCAGGGAGCAAACAATATTTTTACTTAAGGGTATATAAAATGTCATATTTTCATCTAAAAATGCTAAGACATTGCTCCTTCGTTAGCATTTTGTATTTAGTATTTACCTGCAATTCACTGCAGGCAATAAAGTATTTATTTATTATACTGCAAAAAGTATAAGGAATTCTTTGATGTGTTCAGAGAAAAAACCCTAAAAGAACTTTTTTTGACCTAAAAAACTGAATAAACACAGGACTGCACCTCTTTATTGACTGAGCTACTCCAAATAACCTGCAGTCTCCAGGCTTTACATTCCTTTGTTATAATGACAGTAGATAACACAAAGGACAACCACACAGAAGGGCTGTACTTACCTGTTATGAATGTGCATGTGTGTGTGGTGCAGGGTTTCAGGAGGGGACAAATGTAGTAACAGACCAGGAAGAGTGGGGATTTTTGATGTGCTGGTCTAGTTTTTAGTCTCAGGGTGCAGGGACTACCTCACCCTGATTTATTTGTGTGGTGCTCATCCATATGAGACTAAAACAACTACAAGATTTGAGGTTGGCAAAGAATTTCAACTGCTTGTCAGTTTGGTAGCAAACACTGACCCTCTCGTGTAGCGGTTGGCCTGATCTGCTTCTTAAGGAACATTCAGGGTAGTTTCATCAATGTGCTCTCCCAAAAACACAGGGTGCATCATCCTTTTTCTTTTCCTCAGGCACATGATAGCTGAGTCTTTTACTAAGCACTGAATGAGTATTTGGAAGAGTTCTGTGACTTGCAGCATACCACAGTGTGTGAAGTTGCTTCTGAATTAGTAATACATATAGCCTGGTAGTCCATGACTGCAGGGTACAGAACTCAATGATCCAAGTAATTGTTTCCAGTCCTATGTTCTCCAGCACCCAGAAGTACAAAACAGCTGGTAGATGAAGGATGCTATTTATCTGACTAAAAGTGGTCACGTGCATTGTAGGTGAGTGCCTACATTTTATCCGATCAGCCTATGATCTCTTTATGATGAACCAATATAAACAGGCCCTTCTGAGGTGCAGTTCAACTCCCCTAAAGGATATAGGTAAAATACTCAGTCACACCCCAAAATCAGGACATGCACTTAAAAAGAATTTAAGGACACTCAGGTCAGGTGTACACAGCTAGAGCACAAAGTCAGATGAAATTATTTCCGCCAGTGATACTTGGATGGGATATAAATAAGACATGCCAAATAACAACTCTGACATTCAATGGCAAGATACTAACTGGGACACTGCATCACGTTTTTTGACATTGTACTTCAAGAAAGGTGTGGACTGATTTGAGAAAGTCTACAAATGAGTGAGAAAGATTAAAGGCTTGAAAACCAACAATCACACAGAAAGGCTAAATGAAGGAGAAGTCAAGACTCCAGGGAAACCTTACTGTAACCTTTCAGCTCTGAAAGGGGGGGCTATAAGAAAGATAGGGCTGTTGTAATAGGATGAGGGATGATGGTTTTAAAGTAAAAGAGGGGAGATTCAGGCTGGACGTGAGGAAGAAATTCTTTACAGTGGTGAAATACTGGCACAAGTTGCTCAGAGAGGTGGTGGCTGCACCATCCCTAGAGTCATTCAAGGCCAGGCTGGATGTGGCTCCGAGCAACCTGATCTAGTTGAAGATGTCTCTATTCATTGCAGGAGGGCTGGAATTAAATGACATTTGAAGGTCCCTTCCAACCCCAATCCATTCTATGATTCTAGAAGGCTGAATACAGATTAAAGGATAAAAGGTCAGGGAAAGGGAAATATGAGAAAAATCAGTATTACCATTCTTCAAGTGTATGAAAAATTGTTAAAAGACTATATATTTTTTTGTACCCAGTGGACACAACAAGAAAGACTGATGAACCTGCTGCAAGAAAGAAGATTTGACCATGGCTTTGCCAAGAGAGTGCAGCAGCAAGAAGCAGCCCCAGAGAATCAGTCTTTCCCAGGGCTCCACCCTGCCCTGGGAGGAGGCAGAAAGGTAGAGAGCTCAACTGTGCCAAATCTGCTTGGTTCACTACCTGCTGGTAGGTAAGGGGAAGTAGGTAAAAGCATGCCCATCCTCACCCTGTTCACTTAAATCCCCAAGTCCCATTTCTTACCTTGTTGTTGTCTTTGTTTCTTTCTGCTGCAGCGACAGGCAAAAGTTTGGCCCTAAAATGCAAACAAATACAAACGGTGCTTAGAATTCTGCTAAGAGCCCAGTCAAGACTTTACCAATCTCTGGCCCCATGTGCTAACAGGTGAGTAGAATTGCCCTGCACTCTAACTAAATCACAAAGATATTTTGCACACCTGAAAGCAATCTTGAGGAGTGATGAAACAATTGACTTATGCTGGTATTGCTCAGGCTTTTCAGGTGCTGCAGCAACTGCTTATGTTGACTATTTAACCACCTCACTATTACAGATCCCAATTTACTGATGCTCTGACAACTTTCATGTATCTCTCACCCTTTCATCACTCAAGGTGTAAGACAGACAAGAGGAAGTGTGGGAAAAATGCCAGTCATAATGCATTAAGAGCCCACAGAAATGCACAATGAAAGAGTAGGGAAACTATGCAAATAAGCATACTGCTGCTAATGTGCAAACCAGGGTGAAAACAGCAAGGTCTCCGAACTGAATGAGAGACTATGTAAGGAGTGTGGCTGGCTAACGGAACGGGAGACATTTACTGCGGCTTTTAGCTAACTCACCTTATTTTATGAAAACACCTGTATGTGTTTTAAAGCATGTTTTCAGTCCAGCATTCCGAGTGTGTAATTGGGTTTTGAGCAGACTAAGGAAAGTGCTGTTAGAACATCCCTCCTTGCACCTGACACTGCCACTGAGATGTCACATACCTCAAGATGTGGCCTGACTTCACATATAAGTTTGCATCCAAAATTTGCAGTTAGGGGGAACAGTAGTATCTGCACTTAATGCCACCAGTAGAAGTGAACAACTTTGTGGGCACAAAAGTATCCTGCCGTGGCAGGTTAAAAAAGCCACAGAACTATGACTTTAGCAGATTGTACAAAGCTTTTTCCCTTTAATGTCTGCATTTAAAGATAAATAACAGAGTATAGGAATTAATGCATGCATTTTAGGCAACTTCCCTTATTTTGTTGTAAATCATTTTCAAAGTAGGAGAGCACAGGTGCACCCCGAATGACTGAAAAGCAACCAGCCTTACTCAAAAAGTACAACTGCGACTGACAAAAAGATTTTAGAAGTTAATACCCCAACGCATTCCCCAGTTTTAGTTACCATCGACACCGCAGACAATTGAAATGACAAAAGAAATAGGCATTTATAAATCTAAAAGTCAACCTTCTTTATGCTGTGTGAAAAGAATATGGCAAGGCAACTGCTTAGCATGTAAACCCATTCCTACCCTTATTAAGGGCAGGCTTCCTGTTGATGCTATTCCTTAAATTGCTTGCAGCCAAAATCTTTGTGCCTCCCCCTGGCACTTCTGATACTGCTGACTCAACTAAGGGGATGGTTGTGTGCTAGAAAATCCTGTGAACTCCGTTTCAGTCTTACAGTTTGATTGAGCAAGCATACCTGCAGTAGATTGACAGGATGCCAGCCTCCACCATGGGAGCTGCATTTCCATCTGCGTGGTTTCTTCTGTTTAGCTGTGTGTCCCCCATCAAGCCTGTTTCTATTCTAGTGTTTCATACCTCAGGAACCTGGTTTAGTGGCAGTGTCAGACAGTTATGCGCCTGATTATGTTGCTGTGGAATAATATGTATTTTACACTTATTTTTATTTGACTTACAGTCTGAAGCCTAGAAGCAAAGTGTTTTTCTCTCAAACAGAATCCTGTGCCAATGGCAAGCCAGGTGCTAATGCAGGACATAACTGTCTCTTTGGGAGGCACCAAGTGGTTTTTCAGCATCCCTCCTTTCCTTGTAATTCTACAGCTTTGTGTTACCCCTCTGGCTTTTCTCTTCTGTCTGGCCTGAGACCTGACTTTTCCCACTAGCTAACCCCATCTCAGTGTTCAGTCATTTGCTTCTCAGTGTCATTTCATGCTAGCTGAATTGCATGTTTGAGCCTTCCTGTCAAATATGGTATCACACAGGCGTAGGCTCCCCAGAAACCAGTGTCCTCTCCCCAAGGGAAGACATCTTCCTCAATGATACAGGAATCTTCCCAATGCCCAGAATGACATGCTAATCAGATGCTAGAGACTTTATTTGAAAACTGACTTTTCTTTTAATCTCCATCGTCAAAATTCAAATTTAAACTCAAGGGTATCCTAAGGGTTCAGGTATTAAAAAAAATAACCCAATATAATTACTGTTTTAAAATGTCAACAAGTTTTAAGATGAAGAACTTGATGTGTAAATGGTTAGGCTATAGTGCAAAAAACATGGACTTTTTCTGGACATCTTGATTAGCAAGAAACCCCTTTGAAACCAAAGTATCTTTTCCACATTTTCTTTTCTGACATAAGGAGTTACAAGGCCAGTTTCCTTCATTAGCTTCAGAAGCCAGCACATCGTGGAATAACAAATCAATGAACTAAACACATTCTAATTAATCACTTCACCGTTGCTTTTTGACCATACAGTCAATGCCTTGAATGAATCAGTGCAGGGTTAGAAAGTTTTCCAAGTTAAGCTTTTTGGGGACTATGGGTTGGAATTCAGACAAAAGGAAAGCCACTAGAAACTACTGCACTAGAAAGAGCAACTGCTTTGCTCTTTGTCAGCAAGTTAGATGCTTGAGATTGCAAACACTTGCTAGCTCTTGACTTTAGCGCACCTATTTTAGGAAAAGCACTCGGTCTCTAATCATTACTGTCAGTTATGATGTTTTCATCACAGTGCCTCATTAACTGCAATCTATGTAACTGAAAATAGGAAATCTTTCCCAAACTGGCAGAACAGTTCAGCTGCAGTCTTGGTAACTTTGTGTGTGCAACAAGATCACAAACGCTTACCCTGAAATCCTGTCAGCCCAGACACAGCCTCAACTTCATGGGCTAGTGAGGTTGTGGACCCAGCTCTTCAGCTAGGACCTAGGACTGATGTGACCATGCTTTCTTTGCTCACTGTGCTAACCTGAAAGACAGTCTCACCTCTGACTTCAACGCTACAAAGAGATCCTGGTGTGGAGCAGAAGCTGAGTCACCTTATGACACTAATTTATAGGGAAGCTTGGTATTGTATAGAGAAAGGCACCATAGTGCTGAACTCTTGCTCAGCTTCTTTTATCTCCTGCTCTGAGGCAGACTACTGTGAACCAGTGCAGAGACTAGCTCTAGTTTGTGAGGAAAAATGGTGCCTTCAAGCTTCCAATCAAGGAAGAAATGTAGTATTTAATGGAGGAGTATTTACCCTCCCTTCAGCTTCACAGCAGCTTCTGAGACAAATAAAAGTGACTAAAGTGGCAGCATTAAAGTATGTCGCTTCATTTAAAGATGCCATTATGCATGTAACCATTCTGAAATCAGCTAGTACTTGAACAAGCCAGTATTGCTTTGTCTGTTCTCTTAAGTGACTCCGAAGGGGTGCTCACATGTACAAAGCTGCCTGGCATCACATTTCCAACACTGACAAGAGTTTACACTGCAGGCATGTGAGGAGAGCCGCTGATGGCCAAAGCTGGCCCTCAACTTCCCAGCAAAAACTGGGCCACTATCAAGGGACTGGAGCACCTGTCATGAGGAGAGGCTGAGAGAGCTGGGGCTGTCCAACCTAGAGAAAAGAAGACTAGGAGGCATCTTACCCATGCCTGATGGGGCCAGTAATGAAGACAGAGCCAGGGTCTCCTCCTTGGTATGCAGTGAACAGGCAATTGTCAGAGTGTTTTCAGAGTTTCCATCTTGGACTGGATATGGTCCAGGGCAACCTATTCTAGATGACCCTGCTCAAGCAAGGATGTTGGACAAGACGACCTTCAGAGGTCCCTTCCTACCTCAGCTCTTCCAAATAAATTGGAAGAATAAAAAGTAAATGGTAATACAGAAACCTTAAAAACTAAGAGTGGCAAGTAATCTTTAAGTATAGCTCAGAAGATTTTAACATTCTCTCCCCTTTTATGTCTACCTTTTACCATCAACAAGGACAAAATATGAAAGCAAGAAAAAGGAAGCATGAAAAGATTGGCTCCCAAAAGAGCCAACCGTGCATCAAGAGCAGCATAGACAGGCAGCCAAGGGAGGTGACAGTCCCACTCTACACTGCACTGGTGCATCCCCACCACAAGTACCGTGTGCAGTTTTGGGTGCCTCAGTATAAGAAGGACATCAAACTATTAAAGTGTATCCAGAGAAGGGTGACAGAGATGGTGAAAGGCTTCAAGGGCAGGAATTCTGAGGAGCAGCTGAGGCCACTTGGCTTGTTCAGCTCAGAGAAGAGAAGGCTGAGGGGTGGCCTCATTGCAGTCTACAGCTTCCTCAAGTGGGGCAGTGGATGGGGAAATGCTGATCTCCTCTCTCCAGTGGCCAGGACAGTACACGAGGGAACGGGAAGTTCAGATGGGACATGAGGTTCTTCCCTGAGAGGGTGGCTGGTCACTGGAACAGGCTCCCCATGTAGGTGGTCATGGCACCAAGCCTGTCCGAATTCAAGGAGCACCTGGACACTGCTCTTAGTCATAAGGTTTAGTTTAAGATAAAGAGTTTGACTCGATGATCCTTATGGATCTCTTCCAACTTGAGATATTCTACAATTCTAAAAGTTCCCAATTATTTATGGTTTTATATATATATTTTCTAATGACAGGAGTTTTGAAAATTGAGTTTTAAACTCAGTGGAATTGTTATTTGTAGAGTATGATTCATCTCATATTGAGGAAGATGTCTAAGACAGTTCAGTTGACTACCCTAGCACTGACTACTTTTTTTTGCAAATGGAGACTAGCATGAAGAGTTTACAAGTAGACTGATCTATATACAGGTATCCCGACACATTTGTTCAGGTGAATCAAAAGAAAACCCCACTGTAAACACCATTAAACGTGTAAGCAAATACTTGCCTATTACATAAAAAGTACCCTAAGGAGAAAAGGGAGATGCCACAGATTTCATTGGGGATGCTGGGAACACTTGTCTCACTGAATCCTTGAGCTCTCCAGCTCACTTCCTGTGTCATTAACCTGGTGTGAAATGAAAATCTTGGAGTCTTACAGTTAAATTTACCCTTGCTCGCAGGTTTTCCAAGGGATGGAAACATCATGACGTATATTATTGGTAGTACACATTAAAGTAGCTGTAAGGGAGCTATATGACTGTTCTTCTGTACAAATGTATGCCTGCAGAGCTGTGCAAGAAAGCATAAAAGTTTGACAATGATCAGCCTCTCAGGTAAGAAGATAAATACTCAGTCTTTTTCCCTTCCTAACTGCACTTAGCTTCTGTATTTATTTATCCAAGAATGACTCTGGGAGCTTGTTCTAGCCCCTGTGATAAACAAATGGGGTTCTGTTTCCTCTTTTAGGAACTAATTATGCATTTTGGAAAGTCAGGAAACTGCACCTTAAAAGTAAACATGCATAAAGGAGCAAAGAGAGCTCTGTGGAAAGGGCGTACCTAACAATACTAATGTAAAAGCTATGAAAAATAAAGGGTGACCAAACCATTTAACCATTTTGCATTTCTGCCTGCCCCTGCATTAGATTCTGGCTTGTCGGCCCCTTTTGGGGGTTGCTAATCTCCAAAGCACAGGAGAAGACCCCTCCTTTCAATTTACTATAGTAAGAAGAGAGTTCCTGTGTTTATTCCTTCACTGTCTGGGTATTGGGAACTGCAGAGCATCCATGGGCAAGCACACACTCCCAGGCACTCCCAGTAATTTTCAGCTTTCTTGGGATCTTGATAATTTCCCTAAGATGGATCACATCTGTTCTTTTCAAAACCAGAATTACTTCATTTACTAAGATTCAGTAAGAAAGACAAATGGCTAAAAAGCATTCAGTAAGTGGTACTCATGAACCAGAAGCTCATCTTCAAGCAGTCTCTAAAGCCTGTACAATTACTAGTGACTCACTGTTAATTAACCTAAACTCCATCCATTTCCACTGCTTCTGCCAACTTAGAGGCCAAGCTGGAAGACAAGACTACTGGTACAGATATATATGCATGTGGGTATTATTGCTTATTATATATTACTGTGGGTATATACACACATACTCACAAACAACCGGAGGACCATTGGCAGGCAGCAGAGCAAAGGTGTGACTGGTGCTGTGGGAGAGCAGCAACTGCAATCCCAGCAATCCCACAGCAGCATTTGAAGGGTGTAATCACAGGCTGGGCTCTACCACCTGAGCAACACAGCTGTGTGGAAGTGGAGAGACGAGCTTGGGTTTCTGTGGTCTCCAGTGGCTTCCCACTGCTGAAGCCTTTCTGCTGGTCTTGATCTTTCTAGAAAACATGCAGTTTTCAAACTCAGCCAAGATACCCAAGATGAAGCCAGGTCCTTGGCAGGTGTAAATTATATCTATTGACTCCACTCTGTTCCCAATGAATTTTATAACCTCCGAAGGCAAACACTTCTGTTTCTTTGCAATACAAACTAAGTAGTTTTATGAAAAAGAAAAGAAGTGTGTGCAGGCATGTGTGCACTGCGGGTAATATCTACTGTTCTTAGGAACTGTTTGAATTACTCTAATTCAACTATTTCAGGCATCTTGATAGTGCCATATAAAGATTTCTGCAGCTGTGAGACACTGGATAGACAGACAGCCCTGTGCCTCAATAAGAGGGGAAAACATTAGGTAAAAA